TTCTAGTCAAGCCTCATTCTACTCCATGGTTTTCTCCTTCTTGTACGGCTGCTATATCCAATCGTAATCATTTTTTTCATCTTTTTCAAAAGAACAAACCGCTCTCTTGAGAACAAACCGCTATTTATTATTGCAAGAAATCGATAAAAAAGGTGCTTTCTGATGCTAAACTCCATTATTCTCAGTTCACTAAATCTCGCATCTTATCGCAGAAGTTAGGCTCTAAAGACTTTTGGAAAATCTTCAACAGCATTATTAACAAGGGTAGATCTAACATTCCATCTCTCATTCATGGGACTGATCTTATTACCTCTCCCAAGGATAAGGCAGAACTATTTGCAATAAACTTTTCTTTTAATTCCACTTTTGAATCTTATGGACATTCTCTTCCTTCCATTCCAGTCAAACAGGTTGACCCATTGTTAGACATTCAAATCACTCCGGCTTCTGTTGCTAAAGTCATATCTGAATTAAACTCGTCTACAGGTTGTGGTCCAGACAACATACCTGTCACAGTCTTGCAGAATTGTTCTCCAGAACTTTCTCCAATTCTCTCTAAACTATTTAACAAGTGTTTGACTGAGTCTTGTTTTCCTGCTTGTTGGAAAATGGCATCTGTGGTTCCAATATTCAAAAACTCTGGAGAAAATTCTGACCCCTCCAATTATCGTCCGATCAGTCTTCTTTCTGTTATTAGCAAGGTCTTTGAGCCTTTGATCAACAAAAATTGGAGGCGGTGAGGCTAGGGCTATTGCTCTCAACATGTCTGAAGCTTTTGACAAAGTTTGGCATGCTGGTCTTCTCCACAAGCTTGCTTCATATGGTGTTTCTGGGAAAGTTTTTGAAATTATCAAATCATTTCTTTCTAACCGGTTTAATTAAAGGGATCCCTAAGTGCTATAAAGATATGATCTCATATGAAAGAGCATTAAAAAAAAAAATGTTTGATGTATATTATTTTTTCTAAAACGTAATAATGAACACACACTAACAAATTTAATTTTCAAAAAAACGCTTTTCTTCGATTAAAAAAAAATGCGTCTTGTCCAAAGTTTATTGACTCTACTGCCTCAAAAAACTAACGTTTGTACGTCAAAATAAACAAAGTAGACAAAATGTCATTATTGCAAACTTATTAGTTGGTAATTAAATTTAAAAGTAAAGTCGTTTTTTTTAACTAACACAATTACTTATAAGAATAAGTTTTGTAGCATTTTGTGAAAATATATTTGTATATTAAAATTTTTTTTATAATTTTAATTTATATTTGTGTGATAAGGGCAATTCCTTATAACACAAATATATAAATTAAAATTATAAAAAAAATTTATTTGTGTTATAACGGCCAAAAATGAATAGAAGTCAAATTTTAAACTCTTTTTAGTCAGTTTTTAACAAATGAATATTGATTTAGACACATGAAAATTTATTTAAAATATTTCCTAGTACAAAAATAAATTTATTTCAGTCATTTTTATGGTTTCAAAAGTGACGGTTACTCTCATTTTTGCTTGATAAAAAAAATAATTATTGTAAAATGTTTTACTTAAATTAACATTTATGTTAATTTTGATATATTTTTTTTGGTTCAAATTAATAAGGTTGAATAGCCATTTTATTAGAAATTAAACTAAGACAGGGCTCGAATTAACGCAAAAAAAAATCTAATCGCGATAAAAAATTTTTTTTTTGCTCTCTCCCCCCCCCCCCCTCTCTCTCTCTTATAGGTCGCGCCGATGTGCGTGAATGGGGGGGGGGGGAGAATTATCGTCAATAAATCAAAAAACATCGTCAAAAACTTAATAAAAAATTATATACCACGTTTTTTATAATTTATTGTTTCTTGAATAAAGGACTAATAAAAGTTCAAATGTAATTGAGTTTTTCATGTAAATGGTTGAAACTGTTAATGTTTTTTTCAAAATTTCTATTTCAAGTTTTCCAATAAAAGATGAAACAAAAAAATTTGTTTAAATAAATCGAAATATACTTCACGTTTAAAATAAGGCTAAAGTAAAAAAAATTGCTGGTTTTTATTAGCATTTTTATACTGTTTGAAAAAAAAAAATAATAAAAAAGAATTAACTAATAATATATTAATTAATAATTATTAGAATTAATAATAATAACAATTAATTCTTTTTTATTAGTTTTTTTTTTCAAACAGTATAAAAATGCAAATAAAAGTCAGTATTTTTTTTGCTCTAACGTTTTTAAGCCTTATTTTAAACATGAAGTTTTGATAAACAAAGATAAAAACCAACTTTTCAACTTTTCGCTTTAACGACCTTGTAAAAATTTTCCACGCAGAGATTTAAAGTAATTTAAATTCAAAAATGTTTAACGTTGAAAGAAAATGCCCGCGAAAGAGCAAATCTATCTATTCAGAATAATAAATTTTGTGTGACGTTCTTTATGATAAAAACATTACTTTTAAGGATTGCTAAAAAAAATGCTAAGCTAGAAAAAAAGTAATTAAACAACCAAAAAAAAAAAAAAATCTCGAAAAGATTTTTTTTAAGAAAAAACTAATCACAAAAGTGTGTGTAGCAATCGCGATCGCGATACGCTTAATACGAGCCCTGTAAGACTTTTTTATAAGTTCTAAACTATTAAAAACTATTACTTAATAACTTTTTTTTAAAGACGTCTTTCAACCGAATGATATTATACTGTTTTTGCAAAACTAATTAAAAAAACTTGATTAAAACTTAACTATTTAATCACGACTTTTTTTTACTTGAAAATTGAAGTAGATATTTTAAAGTTGTTGTGACGTACTAACGTGATTTTTAACGACTAACAATCGAGTTTCAATGGTGAAAAAATAAAATCAAAATGGAGTTGTTTTTCAGTGATTTCGGCAATTGCTTTTTGTTCGCATGCATTTATTATTTCAATTTAGTGAAAAAGAAAAAAAACTTACATATTTTTTTTTATGCTCTTTCATATGAGATCATATGTTAGGAGCACTTAGGGATCCCTTTAAATCATCCTAGAAGGCCAACACTCTTCTTTATTTCCAGTAACTTCTGGGGTTCCCAAAGGTTCCAGCCGGGGTCCTGTTTTGTTTCTTATCTACATAAACAACCTTCCTGACAACCTTTCATCTAAAGTAGCTCTTTTTGCTGATGACTCAACTTTATACTCCTGTCTTGACAAAAAGTCTTCTCTTTTTGATCGCCTAGAACAAGCAGCTGATCTTGAATCCAATCTCACTTCAGTAATAGATTGGAGTTCACAGTGGCTTGTGAATTTCAACTCTAAAAAAACCCAGTTGCTTACTGCAAACAACTACCGTAATATGGTCAACATTCCTATATTAATGAATGGCAATCCTCTTACTGAGTCCTCCTCTTTACGTCTTCTTGAATTATCGCTTACTACTGACCTTTCATGGAAACCATATATACAATCGATTGCTAAATTAGCTTCTGCTACCGTTGCTTCTCTTTATCCTGCTTGCCATTTCCTGATTTCTGATTCCATTCTCTACCTCTACAAATCTCTTATTCATCCCTATATGGAATTCACTTTCTCTTCTTGACAAGGTCCAAAAACGCATTGTAAATGTTGTTGAACCTGGACTATCTTCTAAGCTTGAACCTCTTTCCCATCGTCGTAAAGTTGCATCTCTTTCTCTTTTCTATAAATACTATCATGGTCACTGCTCAAAGGAGTTATCATCTCTAGATCCATCAACTAAATTTCATTCTCGTTTTACTCGTCATTCAGCTAAGTCTCACTCGTTTACTGTATCTGTTCCTTCATGCTCTAAAAACTTTTATTCATCTAGTTTTTTCCCCGCACTTCAATCCTTTAACTCCCAACTTAATAGTGGTTGCTTGCAGCCTTGTTGGGAGTGAATGCAAATAAAAAAATAAAAAAAAAATGACCATACCATTACATTATTTATATCATTTTAAAAACTTATTGAATCATTCATACTTTTTATACTATTTATTATTCATAGATTATCCTGGCCATATTTTAAAAATCCGGAAATTTATTTTCCTATAATATCCGGAAAAAATCCAGAAATTTTTTTTGTAATATCCGGAAAAAATTCGGAATTTACAAAGAGATGTTAACATAGGGGAAGGGAGTGTGCTCTCCTCCATCTTTTATATTACTATAATATTATGCCAGTTTAAAAGTATCCTTATTCAATGTATATATGAATAAAAAACTACATAACTTTTTTCATCAAAAAATAATAATAATACCAATAAAATTTTAACAATAATAATAAGATGAAGTAGATGAAGTTAAAGAAGAAGAAAACTGTATTTAAAAGCTGTTAAACAATGCGGAAACTTTTTTAGACATGCTTTTATATATTTAAATACATAATGAATAATGAAATATTGCTTCAACTCACCAAAGATATACAAATAAAAAAACGTTTAACGCGTTGTTACAGATCAGAGGCGCTACCATAATTGAAATCCCATAGGTGTTATTTATTTTAGCGTACCTAAAATAAATAACGCCTTACCTGTAAAACACTAACTTTTGGAAAACATAAATGGATTTTATTATAACTGTTTTCGGAGCATACTTCAATCGCAGTAAAAAGATAGGAAATAATAATAATAATAAAACACCAGACTTCTAAAATACAAAAAATTAGAAATCTTTAGTAATAAATATGTTAAAAAAGTAAAAAAATATTGAATTATTTTTCTGTAATACGTTATTTTTTTACAATTAGTTCATCGACTCAGTGCTCAGTGTTCTAAACTTATTTTTTAGCAAAACGACTTTTTTTATTAAAAAATCTCCACATTCAAATTTTATAAAAGTTTAAACGTTCGTTAGATAAAGTTTAAATAAAAATTTTTAATTTATTTTATGATAAACAAAAGGTGAGGCATTATTAATGATTCACGTGCTCATTCACGTGATTTAAAATTTAAAAGATTAAAAAATATGATTTTTTTTTAATTGAAATAAAATTAATTTTGACATTTGCTTTTTGAATTGAAAAGAAAACGTACCTCAAAATGCGATGTTTTTAAAAACCTTTCAATGGCACTTGAAAGCAATTTGATTTACTTCTTTCTTTAAAATTACATAAAATAAAAATTATTTTTAAAATTATTAAAATTTTTAAAATTATATACTATAAATAAAATTTTTAATAATTACATAAAATAAAATCCTTATAGTTTAGAATATAGTTTTATTATATAACACTTATTTGCATGTAATAACTTATTACTAACAAAGTAATTAATCTTAGTCAGTAATAATAAGTTTTTTATAAGTTTTTTTCACCCTTTACAAAAGTAAGTTGTACCGCACGACCATATAACACCATAGTATTACAGTAACTGTAAGATTAATAGAAGTTTCTACTAGTTGAAGGTCATACCAAATTTCTCATTCTTAGATCGAACTATACATTTAAACTCCTTAGAGACTTCACTAATCTCTAAGGAGTTTAAATTTAACAATATATCTCATATTTGACGGAAATTAAAAACTTATTTCTCTGACAGCTTTAGTATTATTCTACCATCGTCGTAACTTTTTAAATACCATCGTCAAAACTTTTAAAAGTCTCCAATTAATAAGAAATTATGCGAAAAAATGATATTTTCAAGAAGTGTGTACGAATAGAGACTTGCAATGGTACCACTGGACAGAAAACAAAATAATGATGTAGTAAATTTTAAACCACCGACAAACAAACAGAGAGAAGTTTTAGTCCATAAGCGAAGTGGTTTACTTAAAAAAAGTTTTAAAACAATAAAAAAAGAAATCTCTTTGCTATTAGCTAAAAGAGCTATTTAAAAAATGTAAATTTACAATTTTTTTTAAAAAGAGAAGAGTTTGACACGCATCCCTAATTTTATTTTAAAAGTAGGAGATCATTTGCTCTTTTGCGCTGGGATTTTTATTAAACTTTAATTAATATGCTTATTAATTTTTGGTTTATTCTGCGAGAGAAATCTTTTAATCTTTTTGACTTTGTTTGTTAACTAAATATAACGTTTGGTAATTTATGGACAACAAGTTTACTGTTTATATATACTTGTTACTATTTCATTTGAATACAGTAATAAACAGAAGAAATTTTATAAATTGTATTTTCGGAAACTATTTAATTATCCGGAAAATATAAAAAGTTTAAAAAATATCTGGAAAAAGATAATTTCTGATTATTTTACTATCATTAGCATAAAGTTTAATAGGGTTTTGACTTGATATGGCAAATCATTAATGAAAATCAAAAACAGCAGTGGTCCTAAATTTGATCCCTGTGGTACACCACTGACAACTGGTAGCCAATCTGAGACAGTGTCACTGAGGACCACTCTCTGTTTTCTGTTCAAAAGTTTTTTATCCAACTTAGGTTATTTCTTATGATAGCATATGATTGAAGTTCAGCAATCAAATAAAAGTGGAGTATTTTATCAAAAACATAGCAAGTGGAAAAATCCACTAATTACAGAATATTTATTAAGAAAATATAGTGCAGAAAAAACTAAATTTTTTAATAAAGACAAGGGAGAAAAATATAAGCAACACACATTTCTATGACAAAATTTTAATTTGAAACTTTAAATAATTTAAAGTCTTTAGCTAAATATAATGATTTAAATTTATATAGCAAGGATGATTAAATAATGATGAATAAAAATCATATCAAATAAAATGAAATAAATCAAAAAATAGATATAAAACAATAACTTACTAAATAAATTGTGAAGTAAGCCTGGATCTAGCCTGTAAAACCAATACTTAGGTGACACCAGTTACTAAAGTTACAATAATAAACCAAAAACACAACATTAAATTAGTTCCTTATTGATTAAACTTTTGAACAAATTGCAGTTTTTGCTAAAAATGTAAATGAAAATTATGATTTATTTATATATTAGGTAAATACAACAACAACAACAAGCTATTTATTAAAATCATAATAATTACAATTATAATAGCAATAATAACAATAATATATATTAATAATATAAGATAATAAAATTAATACAAATTACATTAAAAGTAGTAATAAGAATGTTTACAAAATTACAATGAAATAATAATAATAAATATTATAATGTTAGTTATAAGCATAAAGTTATTTGTAATAATAAATTGATTATTTATTAAGATGGTGTCACTCTTACGGAAATCTGATCAAAGGAGTGACACCAATTTTTTTTTTATTGCAAACTTATTTCTGTGTAAAGTTAAGAAGGGTAACTAGATCATATGGGCATTATGGTAAACTTTTTAAAAACTGTATTTTAGTTAAGTGAAAGAATATTTACTTTTATTTTTTACTGCAAACTTATTTTTAAGTGAGTTATAATTAGTTTTTAAAAGCATATACTTTTTAAGTATATTGTATTTATTTAAAGTAAAAATAAAAGTGTGGATGTCATGACATATTTGACATTTTATAAATTGTCAAATGCACTTTTTTAAAAAAAGAGATTATACTTTAGTTATCAAACAGAAATTCAACAATTTCATTATAATATTAAAAAACATTATTTTCAGCCATGCTGGAAATAAATATTTTTAAATATACTTGTTCTAATTGTCATCCTTAATGATTATTTTAATGATTAATTTTTTTTTTAACTTTACACTGTCTTGACGCTATAGGAAACTTTTAATATTAATGAGAAATTATTTAACTTAGTACAATAAAATGTTGTATGTTATATGGAAAAAAAATCTTTAACTTCAGAATATTATTTTATTTCAATAGAAAATTTGAAAGTAAATGAAAAGTGTCCTTTTTTGTATATTTATATTTATATTGTATACCTGTGTATATTTATATTATGATTTATTTATAATATTTTAATATTATTTAGGATACAAAAGTATATAGAGTTATAACTTTAAACTAAGGACTTATAAATTATAATATAATTATTATTATTATAATATAATATAAGCATAGAGAGTATATAGAGTTATAACTTATGACACTGTTATAAGTTATAACTCTATATACTCTCTATGCTTATATTATATTATAATAATAATTATTATATTTTAATTTATAAGTCCTTAGTTTATGTTATTAACAGAGCTTATAATATAAACTTTGTTATCAAAACAAATTTTTTTATTATATTTTTACAACGATATTCTTAACAAGTAAAAAAAATATATATTTAAACTTACAACTATCCAAAAATTACAATGTTTTAATATTAAAAGCTAGCACACTTGTAAGCTCAACTTTTTTTTAATGCCAAATGAAAAAGATGAAATCTTTAAGAAGAATTTATTACATAATCACATTTATTATTGGTCATTAAAACAATAGCACACACCCATTTACTGAGAGCCTTCTCATTTTACTTCAGAGCCTTCTCATTTTACTCAAGTTACACTTTAGCTGCGATTTATATCGGATCTATTTGTAAATTCCGGGTAAATTTACGTTATTAAATACCTCCTTTCTTCAAAAATTTAGATACTGTTCGTATTATTGCGACGGAATACGAATATAGTACGTATAATTTTAATTGGGTCACAGTTTTAGTTACTTTATATTAGTTTACTTTATTTGGGTTATTTTTTAGTTGGGTTACAACAATTATTATAGACGATATTTCTTCTGACATTTTTTCTGAGAAATTCGGGAAGTTAGACGAGAAAACTTTGGTTATTGCTTTTATACATTTAAAATCCACCGCAGCAACTATGATTCCGCGGCTTTTTTTTTTGTTTTTTTTTTTTTAAACATCTTCGCTTCTAACAAGGCTGCAAGCAACCCCTAATTAGTGTTGGAAGTTACTGGAAGAGAAAATATGAAGATTGTAGAGCAAGATAACGACTGACAGACAACTTAAAAGATTGCAAATAATATGAATCAGGAATGCAAGTGAATTCCAAAGAACTGATATTCGAGGAAAAAAGCTAGACGAATAAAAGTTTTTTTAGCACTTAGAAACAGTAACGAAAAAAAGGATGAGACAACTGAATGACGAGTAACACGAGAGTGAATTTTAGTAAATGGCCCAAGAGACGTTAGCTCTTTAAAGCAGTACCCATTATTGTATTTATAGAAAAGAGAAAGAGAATCAACATTACGACGCTGTGATAATAGTTAAAAGTTGGTTACAAAAGCAGGTCCAACTATGCTTACAATACGTTTTTGCATCTTGTCTAAAAGAGACAGGGTATGATTAGAAGATCCGCCCCAGATATGGCAAAAGTATTCCATACAAGACCGGATTTGAGATTTATAGAGATAGAGAATAGAATCCAGAGTAAGAAAGTGTCAAGCTCCATAAAGAGATGCAACCTTAGCAGATGCTAATTTTGAAACGGATTTGATATATGGTTTCCAAGACAAATCAGAAATTAGAGTTAATCCTAGTAGATGAAGGGTACATGATTCATCAAGTACATTACTGTTTATCAATATGGAAAGGACTAAATTATTAAGATAACAATTGGCTGAAAAAAATTGAGTTTTATCTGAATTAAAGTTCACCAGCCACTGTGAGCCCATGCTGTAGCAGAAGTGACACCTTTTTCAAGCTCAAATTCCCCCTCCAAGTAATCAGAGAGTGTTGGCTTCTTATCATGATAAGAATAAATGGTAGTATCATGAGCGAACAATGCCACCATAGATGTGAGAATTTTTAATATATAGTATGGAAGATTGTTAATGTAAATTAAAAAGAGTATAGTGTCAACGATTGAACCTTGAGGAACCACTGAAGTTACATAATAAGAAGAGGGTGCTGTCCATCAAGGACAACTTTTATACTACGATTGGAAAGGAAGGATTCAATAATCTTAAAGATGTTTTCAGATACACCGTAAGAAGAAAGTTTATGGAGAAGACCAGCATGCAAAACTTTATCAAACGCTTTAGAAATATCAAGAGCAATGACCTTAATCTCTCTACCTTTATCTAATGCACGATAAAACCAATAGGTTATTACTGTTAGTCTCTCACCCGTAGAACGAGATGATTAAAATCCATATTGATGATCAGAAAGTAAGTTATAAGATTCATGATGAGAGATTAAGTGTTTGTTAATAAAAAATTCAAAAACCTTGCTTAAAATAGGAAGAAGACTAATGGGAAGATAGTTAGACGAATCAGATCGCTCTCCAGAATTTTTAAAAATAGGGATAACAGATGCTGCTTTATAAATAGGGATAACAGATGCTGGAAAACAAGTTTAATAGTTTTGAAAGGATAGGCGACAGCTCCGGAGAACACTTCTGCAAGACAGGTATGTTATCCGGACCACAAGCAGTAAAAGATTCTAAGCAGGAAACCACTTTAGATACAGAAGTTTTAATTAGGTTTTTATAGTAGCATCATAATTAAAAAAAAAAAAATTAGAGGAGGAAATAATTTTCTTTTTATTCAGACATTTTATTTAACAATAATAAAAAAAGTAAACAAGCTTATTCCAAAGTATACTCTAAAATGTATATATAGTAAGTAATAAGTATGTAAAATTTGATTTATAATTGCAATGAAAGCCGCTTTCCACATTAAGTGGAATAGTTATGTGAACCAATAGTTAACTTTTGTAATTCACGAGAGCCCTTTACACAAAACCACTTGGTTCAGATAAAAGCCGCTTTCGTCTGAACCAAGTGGTTTTGTGTAAAGGGCTCTCGTGAATTACAAAAGTTAACTATTGGTTCACATAACTATTCCACTTAATGTGGCATAATCCTTAAATAAATACGTGCTAAATTTGATGTGGCTATCATATGGGGCATACATATAAAACTCATGATCTTGCCTCATTTTGAGTTTTTAATATTAACCAATTGTAATAATTCTATCGCAATGCATTGTAAACTCTAACACACTAACAACATACCTATGACACACTAACAACATACCTGGCCACATGCAGCAGGGAAAAGTTAACCACCAATTTTTCATATTTAAACAAACAAAATTCCAGATGCATCTTAATTTTCTTTGGGTACAAAAGTACATTGAGTAAAAGGGAATATATTGATTAAAAGAAGTTTATTGACTTTTTTTACATCATTTTAATAAGTTTCTTACAAAAGTGGATTGAAAAAAAGTACTGTTTTTTTTTTTGATAAATAATTTTTGAACAAAAACAAAAAGACTCATTTTTTAACTAATTCTGATCACCCAAGTTCATCTATTGGTTTTATTCTAAAAAATAACACTAATAAAGACTTTTGTTGTGCTTGTGTAGTTTGGGGAGAAGCAAACAAAGATTGGCTTAAATATTTAAGTTGGCATGTAAAGGATGTTTTGGAGTTGATGCATGTGGAAAATGTGTGCAAAGGACATATAAACGTCTGGTAAGTTTTTTAAATAGTCATAGCAATATAATTTTTGTTATTGCTTTAACGTTTTATTTTGTGCGATAGCGCGATAAGACGGATTTCATTTATGCCAAAATCATTATTTGATATTTTCTAGAAAAAGTTTAACAAATGACATCTTTTTAGATGTTTTAGAAATCAAGAAACTGACTTTCAGTAACTCTATCTTGTCGTTTTTGAGGGTAATTCCATTTGTATTTATCTGTAGGCTATTAGTAGTTATATCTACATCACTTAGAGGATTACTGTTCAGATTACGGAAATCATCTTACATTACTCCAAAAATAATGCTCTATATCAAAGTTTTTTTTCTCCTAGGTAAGCTGTCTTTACCACTAGTACGGAATTTTATCTATTGCTCAAGTGACGTATTTTTTAATTAGTTTAATTGTACTGACGAATTCGCCACGTAATTGACGAATTCGACTATCATGACTTGATGATAAAAAAATCAAGTTCTACGCTAAAGTAACTTTAGAATTTATTTTGATTCAATACATTAACAAAGTAAAGACCATAATTAATAAAAAAATGCTTTTAAACTAGTAAAGTTTACTTATTTATACGCAATCTCAATTTGTTAAAGTAAAACATGACGAACTCGCCCCGCCATACCCTAATGGGATTTCTTGTGCATGCAGATCGTTCCATTAACTCATCAGATTTTACAATTATTTTGAGTGGAATACAAAATGACGTTTCACAGTTTTTTAGAACGTATGAACTTATGCCATACGTTCTAAAAAACTGCCACACGAAATTTCGTCTACAATTGGGGTTACGTTTTTACCGTAAAATTTTACAGTATAATCAGTAAATGCAAGAAAAACATCGAATTAAAAAAAACGAGTTTTACTGGACAAAAAAACTTAATTAAAATGGTTCTTATGAAAACATTAAAAAAAAAGATTTACTTTTTAGGATACGCTGTATAGTTTTAATCATTAGATTTTGGAATTATTTAAAAAAAAAGTTTAGAATAACTCAGTAATAAAATAAAATCATATTATTTTAAAAGCATATCATCGGTATACAAAGGAAATGCACAGTCCGGAAACATCATTTTGAGATAATGATTTAACAATTAAGTTTTTAAAATAATAATTTTTTGTATTAGTTGAAATAAAAAATCTTAATAACTCATTAATAATTGGTTTATTAAAATTGTGTGGTATTTCAAACGATAGAGAATTTAAAATACTAAATAGTGGTATAAACAACTCCATACTGCCACAAATGAACTTAGTGTCGTTTGTTTACCGACGAAATGTTAGTTTAAACTTGTTTTTTTCCTTCGAATCTTGACACGACATTTAATTAAAACTTTTTAAAAATCAATGAAATGCTTTCTAATTTACTAAAGCTTAAAATCATTAATTGTATATCATAAATCCATTCATGCTTGTATTACTCCATTCATTTATTATGAAGTTTGCTGTTAACCGTTTTGTTTTCGATATTTTACTAAACTAGACGTTTAAGTTCAGTTTTGATGTTTCTTGTTGATAAAGATCACAAGCATTTTGCCGAAACATTTCAATGCAGTTGAACTTCCATCTATTTTATACTCTATGATGTATCACACTTGAGACCATAATAATTTGTTTAATAAATATTGAATTCTGTTTTCATTTCTTCACAATTTTGAGCTATTGGACGAATGTTTTTTACCTTAGGTTTTTAAGACGCTAAAATATTCTTTGAAGGGATTAAGTTGATTGGAATGAGGTGAGAGAAACTTATACAGTATGTTGTCTCATTAAATAATTTCAAAACATCTAACTTATGATGAAATCGACAATTACGCGTTCTTAAAATACAATCACAACTTAAAAAAAATTATGGCATTATAAGCGTCCTCTGTTAGCTATTACCGTTATGTATGCTTTCGTGTTTATTGGAGCATTTTCAAAACTTTATAAAGTGTGTAGGTTGAACCCAGTTTTATCCAACAAAACTAAATTTTATGTCTATAT